TGGATTTTTCACCTGTATCATTGCTATTATGGACTGTTGTTGTCATTGTGGGTTTTGAATCTTGTGGATCTTCTTCCTGTGGGTACTTATAGTATCAGTAGTAGTCCTATAACAGGGGCAGCAACAATTAGAAACATGGATTGACAACATGTTTCAGTTCAGATCCTGATTTAGCATTGAGAACACAGCCTGACTGACCTTGGCTCCTCAGTTCAACTCTGGAAGCTCCCTGATTCCACTCAAAACACAAATTTCAATCTTAATTTGGAAATGTGATGCTCTAATGGACTATTATTGGAAAGCAACAGCAGCTTTAACCTTTCTGCTATTTGCTAGCACAGGATTACATATATTCCACCATTTATGAAAGAAATATATTGTACTAGCTACCTTCATACTACCAATTTTTAGAAAGGGGAGCTGCTAATAATGCATTTATTTCTTAGAAGAATTTGATGACATTTGTAGCCATAGTTGCCCCTTCTGATGACATCAGGTCGGCTAGGTTTCAAATGAAATGGTGTGGGAGGGAGGAGTTTGTGTAAGAACAGCCTTAAACTTTTAGTTTTACAGAACAAAAAAGGATACACTTATGTTGCAAGTATATTTTAACCATATATACAGCATAGATTCTATGTGGCTTTACCATAGAAACCTTAATAATATCTAAAAGAGAGCTGTGTTGTTTTTGTAGGAGTAAAACTTCAAAAACAAATTCACTTTTCTTGCACTCCAGAATTTTTTCTCTTCAAGCTGCATGAAAAGACCATGTAGCATAAGGGTCACTAGGCAAGAGACCTGTAAGATTTCAGAAGAATATGCATAAGGGCTAGGGAATCATGGTGAATGAAGTACCATTTAAGTCTTTTTGTGTTCTGATGAATGGGAAGTAAAGTCACAGGAAATGCTCTCACATTGGGGTAGATGATGAACATTGAGCAAATTGCGGCAGTCAGTAGAGAAGGAGGTCTTAAACTTGCAGCATTTTCAAGCAAATGCTCAAAATGCATGAAAAATTCAGTGCAGTTAATTATTTTTAAACCATGAATTGCTCAGTTTTCAATTTCTGAACTGAGAGTCCTGCTAAAACCATTCAATGTGATTAGAAGCAGTCATCAAAAGACCATTTCCTCTCCCCAGTTTGGTTGCTGCACACCCCAGATGGGGTCACTAACAAGATGCCCTGGGAGTTCCTTCTCTTCTTCACCATTACAGCCTACTTGTTCACTTGCCTCTCATTCTGGCCCAGAAAGCCAACAGTGGCGGAGATGAGGGAAAAGTATCACTGCCTACCTGTGCACAGGCTTCCTTACCTGTCAAGCAAGGAAGTGGTAGGAATTTTATAAAAGAGGAGGAGGTGCAATAGCATCCCGTGACAATGCTGACGAGAAGGCAGATTTATTGAGGGCTGGGACCGATTGAAGTGGTATGCCCAAAGGTCCATCAAAACATGGAGATGGAACTGTTCCCAGCAGTTGCTTTTTTCTTATATGCAAAGTTTGAGGAGAAATGCATACATTTTGTAGGCACACTGTGTCTCTGTATTCCTCTAAATCTTTACATTACTAACATAAGGTTAAGGTGGCTGAGAAATAGATTTCTTCCACTTTGGAGGAAGCCCTCCTTCAGTTCAGCTATTCCCTGTATCTTTCTGAATCAGCTCAATGTGTAGTTGATTTGGGGTTTTGCTAAAACTCATGCACACCCCTAACAACAAGATGACCAGAAGACTCTTACAACTTTCTAAGCTGCATTAGAGAACCAACCTATTGCTTGGGGAAAGCTGCTGTAATGTGTAGGCTATGGGAAAACCTCTGCACTTTTTAACAGTTGCATGACAGGCGGAAATAAAACTACTGCAGTTTGTCCCTGCATCTAGGTGCAATGACATGCACTCACAAAATGATGCCTACTGAATATGTGCATGTCATGCAAAAGCACAGAAGTTCTTCAATAAACCCTGAATAACTTAGCCTTAGGGTAACTGGAAGGCTTGGCTCATGATTTGACAACCTTCCCTCTGATTGAAGAATGACCTGACTGAAGGTAATCTCTGACTTTGCCATCCTGAATATTTCTTCCTTCCTCCTCCTCCTCCTCCACTTTCATTTCTGTTTGCTGTTTAATTTCACAGCATCTCATGCTCTGGAAATCTCTGCTCTGATAGCATTAAGCTCTTCTAACACCTTTGCTCCTAAGTATATTGTCAAATGCATTCTTCTTAAGAGGATGGATTCCCAATCGAAACACATAGGCTGTTTCATTCTAAGTTCCTCATTAACTAGAATAAAACCGGTATCCATCTCTAATGGAAATGACATCTCAGTGGTGGATGCATTTGTACATTCTGGATCTATCTGACTTCACTCCTGAACTGATCTGGCCAGGATCATCAGCATCTGGGAGTAAGGTCAGAAACCATCAGAAGCTGAATTTGCATGCATCTTGTTAAAGACTTTGAAAAACAGTAAGTATTCTCATTAAAACGTATCCAGAAAGTTTACCATTTGAAGACTGAAGAAAATTATTCGTACAGTGTAAGTACTGAACTAGCTAGAGGGTAAAACAGCTTTTTCCAAGATGTTTTGGACTATGAATTCTAGCATTCCTAAGCACTGGCTTTGCTAGCTGGGTATGATGGGAATTGGTCCAAAATGTTTCAAGAGCACCAAGTTGGGTAAGGCAACTAAAAACATACTTATTTATTTATGGGATGGCACTATCCTAAAATCAGAACAGTTTTAGAAAGCATTGTTGGTGTGATCAGAACTATGACAGGCTGAATGATCAGAAGTAATTTTATTATGTAGCTGCTGCCAGACAGTATGGACAATAGACTTAATGGACTTATGGTCTGACTCAGTATATGATGGCTTCCTATGTTCCTAACATCCTAATATATTGCCCTTGATTAGATAGATTTTTAGAAGGCAATTATTATCTACAGCAGTATTTAGAGGTCAGTGTAAAAATGTGCATAGTCCTTTTATGGGTTGACTGAAAATGTGCCAATGTCATTAAAAATACCACTTAAGGCCAGGCTAGTTTGGAGAAAATAATTAACCTAAATGAATTTAGAGCTGGAGTAATAAAAGCAGACTAATTAAAGCTAGAATGCCACACCTTTATTGTCTTTTGGAAAGAACATGGATATGAACATGAATTCATGAATGCAAATACAGAAATGGAAAATGCTTTTGGAGTCTTGTGATGTATTCATTGATAGTGTGAAAAAGTAAAGTTATACAGGCTGACAAAAAAATATGTTTGGTAGAAGCTGCAAAAAGCTATATGAACTATAGTGCTGATTTTGGGCCCAAGTTACAAATAGGAAAAATCAACTTGCTCTAAGGAAAGAGGAAGCAGATGACCAAAGATATTGGCTCTTGCTTGAGATAGGTCTTACCACAAGGTCCATGCAGATGTCATATTAGAAAACTTGGGAGATTTCTGGAGAAATGTGGAGTAAACAATTTGTATCAGGAAAGCAAGACGGTAGAGTGAAGGAACAGCATCAATAAAATTAGGAAAGGAGTAGCACTTGAAATTTGGGAAAGGCTCTTTAGGAGGACTAGCCTACCCTTTTACAATGAATCAGCATGCTTAAAACATACTTCCATTTGAGAGGGTCTTATGCTGAAAAAATGGAAAGTCTAACTTCATTTTCTTTCTAATTCTGTATTAAGGATGGATGTTGCCTGAATGATCCTTTCTTATTAATAAAAGTGTTCTTTCATATTTCAAGTTGTTGTTAGGACTCAGGAAGTTTTAGAATCAAGATGAATGTGACTCTTAGCCAGGCTGAGTGAAACCACCTGACACAGAGTGGCATCCCCTCATAAATTAGTATGATAGGAGATAAAACCTCAACACATTTTAGAATCTGACATGTCTGTCCAGTTCCCTGTGTTCTGTTCATTATGCAAAGACCTGGCTGTTTCAGCAAGTTTGTATATCTATTTTGAGCTGAGATAGAGCTTTTGTTCTGCATATTTTAAATATGGGGTGTGTTTATGGTAGATTATTGCAGTAGGATGCTTTGCATGCTCTGTCATAAAATCCCTGTCACAATCTTTATGATTATCGTTGGTATCATTGATGGTGCTTTGCTGTGAGGCCTATCATTCTACCTATCTTTCATATGACTGTATCAATTTGGATTGGTTTCAGATTTAGTCTTATAGAAGAGCTATTGAACTGCTTGGGATTTAAGTTAGTTATGATTAAATTCGTTAAGTTAGGTTCCCAGAATTTCAATGGGTCACTTCTGTATTTTGATGTATTACTGTAAACCTTTCAGAGATACACACAAATCTCCTGCCATCCTTACGTATGAAGGGATACAGGGGCAACACATTCTCACTATAGCTGTAAGTGAAACTTGTAAGCAGTGTTTTTTTTCCTAACCAGAAAGCATCCTTCATTTTCTGATCCTGCACGTCAGGCTAATGACAGTGCCCCTTCCTAAGCTGTCAAGCATTAAAGTATCAATGGAGTAATTAGTAATGGACCTGGCTTTTTTCTTCACTCATTGAATTCTAGCACTTCATCTAGAAGCCAAATATGGTTGGAGTGGGGCATCTTCAACTTGTTTTCTTATCTGAACTCTCTGTAGAAATTGTCTGTGGGAGATAGAAAACTGCAGGCAAGATGTGACTAATGACACTATACTAGAAGTCAATGCTGTGGTTTTGAAATACTTACTTTGAACAACGAGACCTTTTCACTTTGTCGATCACTTGGTTTTCTCTTATTGCTATAACATCTTAGCTATGGCAAGGTCTACTGACTATTGGATGAAAATAGCTTCTAACAAGCAAGAACAAAGTCTAGACTTGGAGAAAATGTCTGGTACTATCTGATGTGGGAATATCTTCTGTACTTGGCTGATCCAAGGAACTTACCTCTTTTATGTCTACTTTGCACAGTGAAATTTCCTCCACTGATGTCTAGAAGAATAGGAAAAATGTGAAACACATATACAAACCAAAGCTCCCTACCTGTAGGGGTGAGGTGTCTCCAGGTGATGACAGGTTCAGGACGTCCATTTGCCATACACAGCAGGGTCACATTACTGCCTTCATTCACAGTGATATCTGAAGAGATGTTGGAGATCTTTGGTGGAACTATGGAAACAAAAAAAAGTTGGTCAGTTTTAGCTCAAGTGTCAATTTTTCATCTTCGGAGGGACTTGACCCCATCACTGGCTTACTGATCACTCTTCCTAGTTGTGCCATACATTTTAAAATAATGTCCCATAAATTCAGGTGTACCCGTTATTGATAGATACGAGTATGTCATTTGTGACCCACTGTGTTTATTAGTATTAACATTTATTCACAACATGCCTTACACAGTCAAAAGCTGATCAGGGTATCAGAGAAAAAGAAAGAATGCAAACTGGACAGAGATGGATACATTTGAATCCATTAATATTAAATACTATTTTCAATGGCGTTTACTCCCAGTTTATTGCGCAAATGATTGCATAAGTACATGTTATGGCAGCAACCCAGATCTTAAAGCATGGATTGTCCCCTAAAAGCTGCAAAGGAGGTGGGCTATCTGTTTCAAGCAGAGATGTGGTATCTGGGAGGAGATGCTGGAGCCTTACTGCTCCTTTGCTTCCTCCAGAAGTCCACTACCTGTACAACTTTTCAGGAGGAAAGTGGATGAAGGTCATGGCTACAGTATACATGTGTGTTGGGGGCAGGGATGGTCATTGAAAGCAGCAGGCAGGGAAAGCACCCCATTCCGCTGGTTCTCCACCTTTTCACAACTATTTAACCATAGCTCACCCAAGCTATTGCACTTCCTAAGGCAGAAAGTAAATGGTATCTACCCGCATCATAACAATTCATGCTATTCAAACATTCCCTAGTTATTTTGGCACCCGAGGTAGAAAATTCTAGAAGTGTCTCCCTTGAGAATAAAAATATGACAAAAATGCATTAAAAAAGAAGAAATCAACTGAAGTAGCTGCCTCACACTGCCTAATGAGAGAGCTGCTACTGGGTTTAGTTGAATGCATGTTCAAACACCGTGAGGCAGCAGCTTTAACATTCAGTTTGCCTCCCTTCTCAAGCCTGAAGTCAAAGTGTCTGCACCCATGAATGAGAGACCGCAGTGGCTCAGAGGAATTTCATAATCTCTTTCTCCCTGTAGTACGCAGTTTCTATTTGTAGCTATGGTTGCAGTATCTTCTTTGGCATGACAGGAAGCTGAATTAGTGTGAAATTCCCCCTACGATGCATATTTTTGCTTTGGAATTTGAGCCTTCACTTCAAAGAGTCCTTGTGATTCCGTAAATAATCCTGGAAATGCAAACTGAGTACAAACCAGTGCAGTGTATTGTGCCAGTACTATATTTAGCTGCAGAAGAAGTACAGCTGAGTCAAGAAAATGTATACAATATTTGCCTGAATTTAAAAAAAAAGCTTTTGCCAGAGCCATGAGTCAGCTTCTAGAGCACCATATTGGAAGGCAGAGAAAATCAAATGGCCTTTGATCCACTATGGGGCCTAAAATAACTGCAAGGCTGAGTCATCACAAGCACTAGCCTCTTAGATGACTCTCCTTTCATAAATGTTGGATTAAAAGATGAAGCCTTCCAGGTGCTGTTTCTACCTGGATAAGGAGACTGTTGATCCTCCCAGATGAGTCAATCAAGAGACAGGGAGACTAAAGGAAGTGGTGAAAGCCACACAGTGGTCTCAAAAGCAAGGACCGTGGAAATAACCTGTAGTGACATGAAGATGAAATAAAACAAGATTGGGACAGATCCCTGGAAATTAGGACTGGACCTCAGCATTAACAAATTGTGGACTGTAAAGGGAAGTTTGGAGGACTATGGAGACTTTGGTCATGGCAACATAAAACTGCACAGCTTTAACTGGGGGATGGTGCCTGATACAGCTTTTACTGTAACAGTAACATACAAGCCAGAAGGACTACAAGCACCAAAAAAGCATGGCAGAAATGGGCTGAACTTTACCTTCCATATCTGAAGTACCAAACAGCCTGTAATTCTGCTCAGACTTCTAGTCTGTTCTTGGGAAGGCTCAGTGATTGGGCTGCTATCTTCTGTCATCATCAAAACAAGAAAGTAACCCCAGTGAGAGCTAGTATTTTGTAAAGTACAAGATGGAGGGCTGTGGATACTGTTTCAGTGCTGTGGTGCTTTCTGGAGTGGCTCTACCAGCAGTGAGTACCCTTGTAGGCCAAACTTCTAGAGGCCCACATCTTTCATCAGCCCTAGCTAGAATAGCCGATGGTGGAAGATCATGTGAATTGTAGGGCCAAACAACTGGAAAGCCACAAGTTGCCCAGTGCTGGAATATTATTTATGTATTTATTGTTTATCATATATAAGTATTTACTGCTTTCTCATAAACCATCAAAGAACTTTAAAAGGATAAAACCATAAAATATTGCAGTAAATAATCACTTCCGGAACTGGCTTTGGCCAAAAGAGTTTTGCTGAATTATTTTCAGCATTATCTCAGTGAGAACTGCAGTGCTTGATTAAGCAGGCAGAGAACTAAGAAGGGACTCCTACATCTTTTGAAGAGCTTTAGAATCTTCCTCCTGCCACTCTCACTGCACACAAATCTGGTACTCCAGGCTAACTGCTTCTGAATGCACGAATGTACAAGTCTGTCCAGTTGGCAGTTGTACTAACTCGCACAGTCCCTAAGGTACCTTTTTGGGTTGCTTGCTTGAAGGCTGTGATGAACTTAACAGTCTGCCCTGGAATACATTTAGGCATTGAGTTTCATATGTTCAAAAATCAGAGCTCTCCACTAGCAAAGAAACTAGATCCTCCAGAATGGAACTGAATGGCACACATACAATGTAGAAGCTTTCAAGGGTGTTCTGTTTCATTATGTCAAACATCATAGGTGTTAAAAGCACCTCCCTCTTAATTTGCAACATGGTCCTTGTCACTACTGTCCATTCAGGTTGGAAAGCCTGCCTACATACCAGTCTTTTACCCATGGAACTAGAGCAAACACAGTGTCAAAGCCCAGCTAATCCCAAGCCCCTGTTAGAGTGGAATACTACCATTGCTCAGCTACCATGGATTAGGGGCAGATGGTGGCAAGAGAAGGCCAACAGAGCCAAATTGCTTGGCCCAGTAAACAAGACTGAACACATGGTAAAGAGAAAGAGATGATTGGTATATTTTAATTTAGACTGTCTTGTGTCCCTCTTCCCATTTCAAAATAGACACATAACAAGGATAAGTACTTGTGGATACCTTCCCTTGCTTTTATATTAAGGTTGCCTGTGCCTTTATACAGGACAGATGTGTATTTGAAGGCATCTTCTGTTTTAAGGCTGCCCAATCTAGGCCTGGTTTAAGATAAAGAACCAAAAGAAAAGAAAGCAGCAAAGGCTTTGAAGTTAACACCTGGGCTGTGTGATGATCTGGTGACACTAGAGTGAGATGCCGTGGTTCTATTTGCAGTCTAGTGATTATTCCCAAATTGATATGAATGTATGTAAGCTAGCACGTGCCATGCTATGTAAATTTGTGGCACCTTTTCTTCTCTCTTTTTAGTGGCACATTAAGTGACCATCCCGACATAACAGTGTACCTGCTGCTATTAATCCATCCTGCTGCAACCTGGCCTGTACCTGTTTAAAAACCAAGGTAGCACTTGTTCTCTTCTTTAAAGATATTCTGGGGTAGAGTAGGGGACCACATAATTGTTTTACAATGTGTTGCTTGCAGTTCCAAAATTGCATCCTTTCATGCATGCTACTATCTTTATGTTCATGTGACTGAATTTATATGCATAAGAAGGTGCATTCCTCCATTCCTGACCCTAATTCAGAGATTTAATTTAGATCTGGGATTGGGGCATTAGACTGATGGAGGGTAAATCTAGACAACTTAACGTATCGCCAAATGGCAAAAGAAAGGACAAACTGGGCATAATTTATTGGAGGCGGGAAGCAGAAAGCAAGTGCTGCTCCTGGTACATAGGACAGTTGAAGTGCATGCAATATTTCTGAAATACACAACTGTGAGATCTATTTTTAAACATGTTTCCTTGCTGGATTGAACCATGTAGATCTCTACCACCACCCCAGTTCTGTTTGGAATTCAATTCAGAATGAGCTTGTTAGCCTTTCTTTTGGGTAAAGCTATACAGCATTGGGTGGTGAAGCAGCACATAGAACATGATCAGCTGCCTTATATTGAGTCAGATGGTTGTCCATCTGGCCCACCATTGTGAGTGCTGACTAAGAGAAGTTCTCCAGGGCTTCAGGCAGGAGCATTCCCTGCCCCACCTGGAGATTTGAGGGGCCCAACCTGGAGCCTTCTATATGCAAAACATGCCCTCTTCCACTGAACTACTAGCCATTGTAAATTTAATATGTCCCAGAAGTTCAGTGATCTCTCAACCACCTGGAAAACATTCTAGCATGATAATTAGCAAATCCTCCTTTCCTCCAGTTTGAGCAGCCATAACGGAACAGATTCCTATTTATCAGCAATTCTCCCATGAGGTAAAGCAGCTCCATCTACTCCTTAGCTGCATCATGTACTTATCTAGTTTTGCACAAAAGGGCAGCTGGAATGTTTTCTGTCACTCTACATAGCCAATACAGTAGCAGTGATTGGCTGGAGCATGTCCAGCATATCTCAAACTGAGCCCAATCTGCCTTTGCATAGCTGCTCTTTCATGCTAAGCTCTTCACTCTGAGCATTTTATTGAACGCTGGGCTCTTCCAAGTGATGGAAAACTTTTTTGGCTTGGTTGAACTATCACCCTGTGTCCCAGCTTCCACCCTGCCATTTGCATGCACTGGTTCTGCACTGTGGGAGCATTGTGGCTGAAGGTTCTGCCTCATTCCAGAGGGTTAGATTAGAGTACACGTCTATTCTTTCAGTGTTATTACAGAACACCAAGAGTCTTGCATATAGAAGAAATCTGCAGTGCACGTTATGCTTATGCTTCTCATGTGAACTGTGGATCTATCAAAAACAGCAAGAGTGAAAGCACCTATTGTATCCAGGAACAAGAAAATGTTCTCAAGTGCCACAATCTTACTTGAACCTTTTCTTTTTTCCCTAGCAGTATGAACCGATGAAGCATTAACAAGATTTTGCAAG